GGTGCGGCTATAAACGACTGTTAAATGAAATGATGAATTTTTAAAGGATTTTAAAAACGGAAAAAATGATCGTCATGCCAGCCCAGCATCATCAACATTGTAAAATGCCCCGGCATGAAGTGGTTAATTGAAAATGATGAATTCTTGAAGATTTTTGAAAACTGAAAATCTTGAAATTCGCCCGTATGTGTGCACTGCATTTTTCAAACCACCCGGCAGCGTGTGGTTAAGGTAATTAAAGTTAGACATTAACATGATTGAAACCTCTTGGTGAAGAGCACTACCACATTAGGTTTAACAGCTTGCACAGTTTGAGTTCACACGATCCTTTTGGGCCTGCCCTCTGGTCTTGGAAACAACAGACCCAAGTCTGGTTGTGTTGATGTAATAAAGCCAAATTCTCTTGGATCGTTGTGGGCCTGTTATGTTGCTGAATGCCACAAGTCTGAATTTAGTCACCCTGATTTTCAGCTGGACAATGGCAGACCTGCTGTCTGATCTTACGAGCAACATGTCAAGATCTAGTTGTCTCGGTATCATGACTACGGATACATCTGAACCTACCGTCTGTGTTCTTGAACACTACAGATCAAGATCCGGCTGTCTTGAAGTCATAAGAGTATGGATTCTTTTGGACAACTCAGGGCCTATCCGCCGTGTTGTAGCAAGCACACCTTCTCCTCTTCTGACCTGCGAAGTCATGGAGTCAAATTCTCCAAGTGACGCATTTTACGACTGATGAGGGTTGTCTTTAAACACAAGCTCACCTTTTAAAGACTTTAAAACATAACATGAGAGAGTAATGACACCAGTACGTTTCGTTGTAATTCCAGAGGGTGCAAGGTTGAATCCTGCTTGGGTTAATTGCCTCAAGAGATCCTAGTCACTTCGACGCAAATTCAATTTCCCAACACCGCACAAGCGTGACTTAAATTAATACCCGAGGGTCACATATAGTGATAAATTTACGATTTACTGTTGCATGCCAATAAGTGTCTAGTTTGCATTTAAGAGCACCTCTAGGGAAAACATATTTTCTCTGATTTTATCTGTTCAAATAAATATGGAAGCATCCAAATCGAACACAGTGTTATTTGTCTACAGAGCTCAACTATAACAAACTTAAAAGGGCTTTTTTTTCTGTTCATGCCAAGATGCGATTTCTGAATGTAGATTGCGTCATTGAAGAGAAAAAGGGGGGAACACTGTCCCCGTGTCCATAGTGGATAAACCCTTGTGCACACCAAACAAAGGCTACATGCATGTTTTCCTGAGAGGTGCTCTATAACTTCTGCTGGAGACTTTAATGTTCACAGCGCATGGAAAATTCAGATGTAGTTTCCGAACTTACCACAATGTCTTGTAGTAGCTTTCTTGCTTCCTGCTCAGACTCGCATCTGGAATACGCCTGGTTGTCATAGCAAAATGAAAGTCACTTATAAACCATGCCGTTTACAACAGCCTGTATAATATTACCACAAAATATAACTCGACGTCAAAATGCAGTGCAGTGGGAGACTCTTAGATGCAGGTAGAAGCAGCAATACCGGTCCTTTGACAAATACTTGTACCTTCTGCAACCCTCAAGTTCCAACACTTTCCCTGTGGCAATCATGACTGATGAAGTATGAGAATATCAAGCTACAAACCTGCAGGAGGAGCCGCGGTGAGGGGTAGACAGCAATGACAGAAGAGGCAATTTCTGGGCTGACATTGCGGAACTGCTGCAGCTGCTGCCGCCAGACTCTCCGCAGTCCCTGGCCGTCCTTCTTGACTTTGACACCCCCCGCCCACTCAGTGTCGACATGGAAGGAGAAGGTGGCCTTGTCTCGTTCTCTCCTGATAAGAAAAAAAAGATCCACCGATCACGTACATGACAACCCCCAATCCCCGTGAAACTGAATGGTGGTACAATTTCTCTGGTGCTGTTCTGATAAGAGACCAAAGACACCCTGTTCTAATTGCAGTAAATCTGTTGGACTTAGCATTGTTTCAAAACAATGACGGATTATCTCCACGAATGCCAGCTGAAAAATGATGGCAATTCCCTGCAGTGGGTCTTTTGTTCCCGAGTACAATCTTTTGTTACAAGGCCCAGCTCCTTTGTCTGATTTCGGGCAGCCTGGATATGTATACAAACCCAAGGAGTCTGGTACCGCAAACCCCAGCACCAAGTGGTTCATAAACACTGTATATTTAGTGCTTGTCCAAGAGCTTGTGAAAAAATCCACAAGCTTACTCTGGTGGGACTCGAACCCACAACCTCCTGCTTACTGGTGCAGCCATCTTATACCACTCAACCACCGAGCTTGCCAGCGGTGTAGGGGCAAAACCAGTACTAAAAATAAACATCTCCCCAAAGCAAAGTACATCTTAAAGTACATAATGTGTTGTTATTGGATTCTACAGCATTCGTCACAATGCCATAAGCCAACCCATTTGAGGTACATGGAGTAATCACCTTCAAAGACCACTTGGAGATTTTTGAACTAAAAAAAGTACAAATGACCATTGACCTTTCAAATTTTGTTGATTCCAAAGCAAAGGTCAAAGCAAAGGTCAAACTAAAGGCTTCACGGGAAATGTAAAGTCATTTACTGAAAAGATGCTTTTTTGGATAGAACTTGCACAGAATGGTTATCAGGTGCAGTGCAAGATCTAAAGGAACTTCACCGACAGGGCAGCTGAAAGCAGGCTGCACTAGCGATGCAATGATCGTAATATATTTGCATGATAATTACAGGCCTATGTGTGAAAGTCGCGGCGGGATAAATGTGAAATCGTAAGTTATAAACGAATCACAGTCCTTCTTTGGTGATGTCATATGTCGTATCGTTCGTCATTTGTAAAGTGCTCTTAAATTTCTTTAGGGGCGCAATTTTTTACGCTCCTTCAGGAGTGCTGAGGAGCGCGGTGGGAGCACTTGCGCGATCCCGCTCCTTTAAAATGAAGGACTGTTCGCCGACAGGCAATGTATACCACGTCATCATGAAAACTGAAGCAGATAAAAATGTGTCTCACAGAATTTCGCATTTCGCATCTTCCTACAACAAAAATCAAACAAAAATTCCAATTACATTCCCAGAAGCTTTTGACTTTCCGAACACTAATAATTCTGGGGGTACCACCAAATCTTTTTGAAAGCTAACAAAACACACCTGCAGTTTTCTCTAGCAAAATTGGCAGGCCGCTGATGGCAAAGTCCACGGGTATGCTTACATATTCAGGAAAACCGTTACTGAATGTTGCAACTTACTTGAATGGTGTTTCCGCCACAGACTTGGTGAACATGGCAACCATATCAGCCACTTCCGCTGGCGTCTCCACAAAGCGCACATTGCACCCTACATGCAGCTGTAGGTCCACCAATGCCTGCAAAGGACAGCAAACACACGCATGTGTATGCACCAATATTTATCTTAAAATATACAGTAAACTCTGACTAAGTCAACATCACGTAACCCGTCATATCGTCCAAGTCGGCCATTTCACAAAAGTCCTCATTGTCTGTAATGCATTTCCATTCAAAATTTAAGTCGGCATTTATACGTCCTCATTTCGTATATGTCGGCATGTTTTTCTCGGGCTCTTTTCCACAAAACCACACAAATTCCTTTGTGTAAGTCGGCATTAAAAAAAATTGTGCTCTGGTATCGGTTTCCTTCGCCGCGGTTACCAAGAAGTGTCAAGTGACAAGTCCCATGCGCGCGCAGCCAGCATGAGTACATCAATACCAGTAACCCCACTAGTGCTGCACGCATGCGCTGTCCATTTTGAGGGTCGCCCTATTGAACATAGTCTGGTTCCTTGCCCAAAGATTCCCGGACAACCTTTGATGATTCATCGGGTAGTCAGAACATTGATCTCCATTATATAATGGAGAACAATGAGTCAGAATCATCTGATCTGGTATCCAGACTATATTGAACGAACTTAACCAATGCATGTGTGTGTGGATGAGTGTATGTTTTCTGTACCGTAACTGTATCACGTACATGTGCTATGTATGTACTGCACTATAGAGTCGCGATGTGATATGCAACTTTGCAAGTGGCTTCCTGTCCTTGCTTCGTCCTTAGGGGCACATGATCAATTATTGAATTTGCAGGATAATAATCGAGAATGAATTTGCTGGGATCGACCATGGAGGTAGAAATAAACCATGTGTGCAAGGTCAGCAAAATGACGACTTACAACACAAGTCGGCATTCGCTTAAGTCGTCATAATTTCTTGAGTTCCGAGAGTGCCGACTTAGACGGAGTGTACTGTACATGTATAATTATATTTGTGGCATGCTGGCCGTTTCATAAAAAGCAACCTGATAAAAATTACCAACTTCTTGTGATAAAATAGAAATAAACCACAGTTAGCAGCAGAGAGATTATTTTTTTCAATTCAACGATTGATCAATTCAATAATGATTAAATGATTGTAATTATTTGTAATTGTTAAAAAGAAAAAAAATATGTGTAATTCACATTACTGCTTTCTCCATTTAACAATTTCACTATTTGCCAAAGGTTGATCAAGTTCCTGTGCTTTATACAGTTCCCAAATGAGAAATTTAAATTTTCATCAAAGATCTTAACAGAACTTGTAAAAAGACCTTGCTCTCAAAAGGTAATTTAAATCTTTGCTGGAATTAGCATACATCTCATCTGAATGATTAAGTTAGTTGTAATAGCATGCTTTCATTTTCTAACTGTATTCAATTTCCAGAAGCATTTCAAAAACCACCGAAGTGAACATTTTGTGATTTTTTGAATAAGCAGTCAAATGTTTCAACAGGTTTAAGAAATATCAGAACACCATGCCTAGTCCGCACAGAGTTGAAGTGCACCCTCACTGGCAAAGAAGAGACAAGCTGGTGGGAAGTTTTTAAACCGAGCTTGTGCACGCACCCAAGCATAAACTGGTCGTGCTTGCTCAGTGCGTTTTGCACCAAACGCTATGCATAAATGCGCCCTCTCTGCTCTCGTACAGTGCGGAGTAGGCTCACTAGTTACAGCTATTGAAAATTTATCGAAGCCAACAATCAATCGCGAGTATGGGTTTTGTGTTTATTCAATTTTTCAGTTTACAATCAACAATTGGAGATGAAGTTTTACTGACGCGATGGCAGCAACTCACCTCTTCCACATCTACCCTGGTCACCACAGTGGTGATGTCTTCAATGGGTCGCTTCTTGCGACGTGCCTTGGCCGTGTTCTCTGTCGGCTCACTGCCGAGCACGGCTGACCGGAAGTTGCGCTGCCGGGAATTTTTCTGTAATCTGTGCACAGGAATCCAAAGGATACGTTCTGAGCATTTGCAGTCATTTAATACATAATTTTACAGAACTCTCTGTAGAGAAGTGTGAAATGATTTTGAGGAGAAGTTTGATTCGATTGTATACAACTGCGTCTTTCGTGCTTTGACTGTTACAATATGTGACCCACTCTGTGAAAATGAGTCTTAACCCCTTGACGGGAATTTCTTCCCGAAAGCCGACTCCAAGAATTCCAAGCTCGCTTGGCCACGAAGGCCACCTGCCAAACAGCAGATTCTCGGTTTGTGGCCCTGCGTGCTCTGCACGCTTTGAATTACACGGTGAAAAGGCTGATTGTTCAGTGGCATGCGGCTCTACTCACGCTTCCACATTCCCGTTGCCTTTTTTCAATGTGGGGACTATTGTGAAGCTGGTGATTATCATGCAAATTCGGTCTTTTCATTTCTAGGCTACGCACAAAGACCAATTTCCATATACACAAGAGCCAGGGTCTGCCTTCTTTCACCGTGTTTGCTCAAGCGTGGGCTGAGGGTCTCAATTTTTACGGACGCTCCATCCACGTCCCGGCGCGAAGGGGTTAAATCGCCAGAGCCACTTTTTGAGTTTCCATTTGTATTGGAAAGAGCAAATTGATTTTTTTGTTTTGATGTGTCACTCAGTTTGGCATCCTGAACAAAGTGGATACTCCATGGTGACAAATGCTTTGGGTTCCCATTGATTTCCACTGTGCAAAATTATTCTAAAGGACTTGTTACTCCAAAGTGGCTCTGGCGACTTGTGACTCATTTTCACAGAGTGGGTCACATATATAAATGACTTCTTGATCCAAAGTTAAGGTCAATAAATCGTCTCCGACGTCGTTCGGGGCAACATTAACCCTCCTATGCTGAAGTCACTTTTTAGGTCATTTGGTGAACACCTCAAAGAAGCAGAGCTGTGTTGTGTTGTGCACTGCACCAACTGTCCCTCACAGGAATATCAGATTGCACTTTTGTGCTGCCCAACAACTGTTCTTCACTGTTTCATGTGCATCATTGTGCAGTAAACCAAATGCAGTGAAGAGGACTGCACAAAAGACTCTGGGTCATTTTGCGCTGGCGACCTACTGTGTACACACTGAACCTGTGCATGTTTGAGTTACATGTAGAAAATGTATGCTCACCAGTGACTGTGGGCATTTGTGCACATTTGTGCTGTAAAACCAAAGGAGGGTTAATGTCTAACCGAGGTCACACATACAATGCAAAAGGAATAGATGTCAATGCCATTTCATCAATCATTCTCTCATTTTAAACAGGATCGTTAAACTTCACAGAGAACAGACATTGAGAGTAAAATGCAACATCTATGAGCTCCTGGTGCAAAACTAAAACGCTTGGAATTTCCACACTTGGTCCTCTTTTATTTCCTCTGACAGTAACTTCATGTGAACGAATTTTTCGAAATTATTAACCCCTTCGCGCCGGTAATTCTTTTGACCGTGACTGCTGGGCTGTGGTATGCCCTGAATGGAGGGCTTTGTCCATCAGCAGGCCCCAATGAACCAGCAGCTGCATGGTGAATAGACTGTATGCGTGGTATGCACTAATCCTCACACAAAGCCGCGACTGTCGACGGTTCCCGGTGCGAAGGGGTTAAAGGAAATAAACCCTCACTTTTTCCCCACTCGCAGAGGCATTTCAGTTAAGCGAGGACGTAAAGTGCATCAACATTTTTACCTGAAGTACTTTTCCAGTCCTTGAATGATGAACGTGACTGCTTTTCCCTGCAGTATTTGCCGTACGTTTCTGGCATAAGTCCGCAACGACTCTTGACCTGTGCAGAAAGTCCCTTGCTGCTCCTAAGTGAACGGTCAAAAAGGGAGAAAGGTTAATCACAGTTAATCACTGGTCCAAGATCAAACATCATGAGGCTTGAGGTATCTTGACATATCTTTGTCTAGGGGCTAGGAGGGGGACTGGTTCAGCTACCCTTCCCCTTACAAAAAATGAACAATAGGAGGAAAATAAAACAAGATGCATTGAAAAGGGGAACAGGAAGAGAGAAACCACCCATGCTGCTCATATGAGTGTATTGCTCAGATGGCAGTGAAAACTATTGGCAAAAGCATAAAATGACAATATATGTGTACACACAACACTCAGATGGTGTCAAACGCTGTCCCAAGACTCCCTCCCCAAAACACACACACAGAAGTGTGTATTTCCCTGCAACTGGGGACTTCCTATTGTTCCTCTTTTGTTTGTACTTTACCTTTTTTAGAAGACCACCCATGTGTTTTGTACACAGCTGTCAATCGGGGACCTTACTGTCCTCTATTGTTCAGGGTCCCCAACTGAATGCAGAACCAAACTCATATACACACCCACACCTGTTTTACACACCAAGTGTGGACATTCCTTTGCTCTCCTGTGGTTAATGTAAATGCTCCGTTTTCTCCCGCTAGGATAACCCCTTCAAGCTGGATTTTTGATGACGATTTCCTGGACTGTTCCTCTTGATTTTGCCATGGATAACCTAGACCCCGGAATGCCTCTGAACCTTTTTTTCAGAGAGTGGGAAACATTGTGTGGATGCATGCAAGTCCACACAACGCCATCGTACCCTGCATTGTGAGGACTTCTTTTGTGCAGAGGTCGACACCATGTATGACACGCCTGCACACCCCCTCATCAAGTCTGAGATTTGAAGATTTTTTTTTACCAAACAGGTTTCTTGCTATGATCCCAAACTTTCAAGCATGGTATGTACTTATCACCTGTAAAAGAGGCCTGGGCTTTTGACGGGGGCAATTTTAGGGGCACTATACAAGTAACAGTGATGTGTTAAAATCCATACCTGTTTGAACGTGTGCACCAATTCAACAAAGTTGGACACGGGAAGGGCAACGAGTGCTTCAAATTCCTCCTTCTCACGTTGTAGAGTCTGCAACTATACAAGGTTACGTTGCACTGCATCAGGGATGAGACCACAGTTTAGGTGTACTGAGGACTTCAGTACGACATTCAGCTTTAAGTGGCTGACTCAGGCCTTGCAGCTTGTCTGTCCACTTTTGACCCACTTGGGAGGTCAATATCAACATTTGCTGTTTCATTTCTAACACCTGTTTCAGACAGGTGTTGCAGAGATGCGCCGAACCAAATTAAAAGCAAATTTTGATTTAAGTACAGCAAAAGTGTGACTTCTGAAACAATTAGGAGCAACCTCGCACGCTGACAGGCGAAAGATCGACACTAAGAGGCGATCAGAAAGACATCAAAGTGACTTGGTTTCAGGCGTTGCTCTTCTCATGAGCCAAGCCCAATGCAAATGTATGTACAGTGGAACGCCGCTATACCGAACACCGCTATACCGAACATTCGGCTGTACCGAACATCGTCCTTGGCTCCAAATTATTTGTGCACAGAACCTACCGAACACTATTCAGTTGCCGTTTGTAATTCCTGAACGTCAACATGATCAAACTTGTTGTTGAAAAGTGACAAGTGGCCATAATTTCCCCAAAGATTAGAAGGGAAAGCCACTAGTTATCAACGGTATGACACTGGTTTTGCGACTCCACATGATCGGGTGCAGAAGAAAACCGCACGTACGCGCACGGTAACATTGCACTAACAATAGTCTAAAAAGGGCGCCGCTGATACAAAAATCAATTGAGATTCGCCACGGCATGCATCAGAGATCGATCCTGAGCAGTAGTTTCACGACTTTTAGGATAAACTTGATATCAATTTTTTCACTCAAGTTTACATAAAAACAAAAACAATTAACAGGTACATTTCTAAAAACCTTAAACTTGAATGCAACGGCAAAATATCACGAAAACAGCAAACAAAGGTATCACAAAAGGGTGCACTTTGGTTAAACAAGAGAGGGCACAATTCAACATGGCAACGAAATGTTCGGCAGTTAAATTCGCTATACCGAACGACCGCTGTACCAAACATTTAGCGTGGACCCCGTCTTGTTCATTATAGCGGCGTTCCACTGTATTAAGTTCCTCTGTCTCAAACCAAAATTTCATTGGGTTGCCCCAAGTTGCTCTTTATTCTATTTAGTTCGGTGTAACTCTGGAAGGCCTGTCTAAAACAGGTGTTAGACAACCATTTCCCAATCTAAATACACAACTGCAGCGGTTAAATAGAAAAATAAGGGACAACTTGTGCTGAATAATTTTCAATCTTTACAACATCTCTCCGCCAATGGCTTAAAATGAAAGAAGTCAGGGTCCCTGATGAAGGAGCGGTTATGGGTCATGTGGACAAGCCATAACAGAAAGCATCCAAAGTACTGGAAGGCATGACTAGGTAGAAATGTATAACAGACACCCAAGGGTGTACGCCTTGTTACAGGGGACGGTAATTCAGTTCGAGATTTCCAATGGAGCTTGGGGTATGTGGGGGAGGGTACAGACGTCTTCTCGTCCATGTCGTCTTCCTCTGTCCTTACCTGCAGGTCGTCGCCCAGATTGTGCTGCATTACTTGTCTCTTCCACATGAGGCACCCGGGGATGGGCTGAGACTCGATGGTCGTTTTGCTGTTGAGTTCCTGCAGTCTGGTCAGCAAGGCAGCGCCTCCTGCATCCTCTAGGAGTGATGGGTCAATCATGACAGTCACATACTGTTCAGAGGAAGAAGTACACAAGATGCTATGTCATTTGTACACTAAAAATTTCTCTTCATAACAATACTAACTACACTTGTGCAGTACTTAATATAAGTGTGATTAAAGGTGTTTTTCAACTGGTTCTTGAATGTCTTTATGGAGAGTTTGTCTTGTATATTTGGTGGGAGCGTATTCCAGAGTGTGGGTGCAGCCTCTGTGAATGCCCACTGACTGTAACGGTCAAGTGTTGGTGAATGAGCCGTGGGTGACTTGAAGATGTTGAGTGACTTGAAGTACACACATATATATCTCTCACAGCAACGCAAGCGTCACTGATTAGTATGGCAAGACTACTAGCAAATTACATCTCCACAAGTTGGTTTGTCCATTCAAAGTCCATGAAGAGGCCATGAATTTTCTCTTTGCCTCTTGGAGAGATAAATGAACACCACTGTATTTCAGACAAACATGACTGTACTGTTAACCCCTTCATACCGGGAGCCGTTGGGAGCCGTTGGGAGCCGTTGGGTCCCTTGGGATCCGTTGGGATCCGTCGGGAGCCGTGGCTTTGTGTGAGGATTAGTGCATACCACACATACGTTCTATTCATCATGCACCTGCAGTTTCAATGTGGGCCTGCTGCAGGACAGGGCTTTGCATACTGGGCATACAACAGCCCAGCAGTCATGGTCAAAAGAATCCCAGCATGAAGGGGTTAAAGGTTCTTAAAAACCCAAAGTTGAATGCTTTACAGAGTATGTGCGTGGATATTAGAGTGACATTGTAAACAACCCACCTTCAAGCACTCCTCAGGCTTGTCCGCTTTGTGAGCTTCTCGAAGAGCCTGAACAGAAAAACACAACAGAACAAAGGCTGCAAAACAAAGTGGCAGGTTGATACGTCATACACGACCAAGATACACGTGCCACTGAGTGAGCAATCTGTCTTTGCCTTTAACATCAAGAAGAGTTCAGTCTATGACTGAAGCCACATTGAAGACACTTTAGTTATCTGATCACATGGCACGGCATGACGGCAGCATCCTGCTAAACCCAGCCAGCCTCGGTAAAGACATCTAAATCTCTGGGTCAAAACTTGAGCCCGGGGGGAGGGGGGATCTGAGTGTTTCTACATTGGTTCTTTGTTACCTTCTGCACCTGTGCCTCTCGTTGCTTCTGCTGCTTCTTCTCCTGCTGCAGTCTCAGTTTCTCCTGCTTCTCCTGCTCTTTTCGAGCTCGTCTTTCCTGAACGAAAAAAAAAAAAAGAGGTGGCTTGCCACTTTGGCATCTTTTCCTTGGGCTTCAATAAACCATAAGACAACATACACATGTACACTCCCAAAACAAGGACGTCGACAAAAATGCATGGCAAGCAGTTCGCTGGGTAAGATATCCCAGGTGATGGCATACTTGTAAATTGATCTTTTAAAAACAGAAAACAAAACCACCCAAAAAACAAAAACCCCAAAATGAACAATTATCTGCCAAAATTTAAGACAGAGTTCAACTGGAATGTTAAATAATCTCTTTTTCTTTGAAATGGATATAACACCATCCATAGAATTACAGGCATACAGACGTGCATTGATACATTACTGAAGATAACCTTTTAAAAAAATCTGAGGTAAATTGAGGGCAAAGCTCAAAGGAACAATAGTCTGTGATTGCAATAGGTTGTAATATCTGCCGGCCTCTTCCCAGATAAGCTTAAAAAACTGCCTGTCCTCTCCAACAACTCCTTGGTGCTACCTTAGGCCATATCTCCCCTGCACCAAGTATTTAAGGAAATACGAAAACTTGTTCATCAGTGTTTATATACAAAACACTGAGACCTGTAAATTTTGAACGAGTAAAAATGCCTGTCAAAATATGTTCTTGCCTGTCCTCATGATGGGCGGACAGGTGGTTAGTTGAGACATGGTCTGTTATCTCACCAATGCCAGCTGCTTGGTAGCTGCTATCTCTTCCGGACTTCTTTTGGCTTTTTTTCTAGCAGGAACAATGTCACAGCTACTCTCCTGCGATAGCGTCCCAGTGCTGCTGTATGAACCCTGAAGAGATAGAAGTGGTCGCCCGTCATCTTGCCTTCTTGAAGCAGAGTGTCCCGATTTCGGTAAACTGGTTTCACTGACAGGACAAGAGGACGAGTACATTGTTCCCATGGAGACATCATCCTCATCATCTGAAATGTCATGGTAGCGTTTACAAACATTAGTGTTGGTAATACAAGCCTCTCTTTTCCTTTTATCGTGCCAAAGATTTGTAGCACTTCTGTCGGCGTCTTTGCAGCTATGGCTATCATTTCTGCTACCTGCCACATCTCTGTTTGACTTGCTGCCTTGAAGGTAACTGGTTGAACTGGAGGAAGCGTAGTTTTCTGGTTCAATTTGATGATTGTTGGCCCGCTTGCTGCGTATTCGGTGAAGCAATGACAGGGTAATGCCTTCCTCCTCGTCCTCGCTGCTCGAAATTGACAGGGGACTGCATCCTCCAGCGACACTGTCAACATCCATCGTCTCATTCCCCGAGTGACAGCTGCCTGGATGAGGAGGCTCTGCAGATTCGAGGATTTCAATGCATTCGATGTTGGAATCAATATCAGGGATTTCGGAACTCCGGCTCCTGTGAAGTTGCTTCTTAGTCGAGTAATCGGCTAAGACAGCGTTTCCTTCAATGGAGCTGTTTTCCAACAATACTCCAGCTTGGTTTGAAACTGCGCTTGCCTGGATTGTAGGAGGATTCTTTTCGTCGTTACCAGTGTCAATGTTGAGAGTTGATGGCGATGAAGGACTGGACGAAGTCAAATCATAAGTAGCTTCAAAACTGGGAGATGCAGAGCAAGAGATTGCCGCTGAATAAAATGAGCAGGAAATGAATGTTTGAAAATTAAATTCATAAAAAAAAACAGGTGATTTTTAGGTGACCAGTCCAAGCAACTGTGTACATGTGGCACCCGCACAGAAACTGTACAAGACCACTACCACGATTTAAGGAACAACTTACTTTAGCTAAAGGTATAAGGCAAGTGAAACTTTTGCCTGAAATTTCTATTGATGAATTACGCCATCTCGCAATCTGAAGACGTCATGAGTTCAGTGCTGTAATGAGAATTTAATTACTCATTTATATTTAACTGGCAAGTTAAATGTTACCACACAAAGGTTGCAATTGAGAATGACAAACCTTCATCAAAACTTCTTGGAAATGGCTGCTTTACTTTCTCAAGGACTCTAAAGTCTGGGAGGTCACTGCAGTCACTGGCGTCATCGGAATCTGTATGCTTTTCGGAACAGGTGCGGGCACCCCTTTCACTTCCTGAATCATGCCAATATGTCGGTCTGTCAGTATGTTTCTCTTGATCACTGTTCGGTGAGTCATCTGGTGATTCGTGGAGTGGAACCTCCCCTGTATCAGGTGGGGTGTTGCTGCATTCAGTTGAAAACTGTCCACTGGTGCAGGGTTGCTC